CTCGTTTTTGCAACAGCATGTCGGTTGTTCTCGCCGTGCACAATATGTTGATTATCGTACACAATTCGTACGCAACATCCCACATCCACAACAGGACAATGTGAAGCTTTTGTTCTTCGCGGAATTATAAACGCTTCTACTTTGCCCCTACAAGTTTACATAAATCACTAACGACGGCTGCTCATCTCACAGATATTGAATTTATATTTTATTGAAGTACTATTCACACCAAAAGAAAACGAAATTGAATATAAAATTATTGACCACGACGAGACAACAAAACTAAGTACTCAAAGAAACACGAAGCGGAAGCGGTGAAGAGAAACACGCATAAGAGAAGCGGAATCGTGCGTTCCTGCTGCCCACAACAAGTATGAGATGGACTGAGCGATTCAAAATCAACGGATTCAAAAATTTTCTTTCATGTTCCAAGCTTTTCCTGACTCTTGAAAAGAACAGCAGCATGGATGGGCTGTGTTCTGGGTGTTTTTTTGCGTTCGCCGAAACGTCGCCCAGAAGAGTATCAAGCGAACAAGCTAGGTCGATCTCAACTTGACTTCGTGACTTAGGCGTACGTGAACGCAGCAAAACCGGGAAGGGGAACAAGGCGAGTGTCTGCATTCATAAACGTGAAGAATTCGCAGAAGCAAGGGGCAACAGAGTAGGTTACACAGCGGATACCCTCGAAGCCCAAGCCTGCCACTATTTGGCCCCAAGGCGCTTTTTTTGTTGGCATTTTTTGTTGCATTTTTTTGTTGGCATAGTAGCCCGCGCGGTCTCCGTGGACCTGGTCGAGGCTGCCGCAGGTTTACAACCTTTACGCGAGCAGGCCCAAAGGCATTCCCACCACGGCGCACCAGAAGCCGCCGGCCATGCCCGGCGGTCGGCCCGCTTGGGTTTTGGAATGGGCCTTGGGTTGCCCTTCACATGGCTGACGCGCGTTTTTCCCGGGACACAACTTGGCGGCACTGTTGCGTCTTGTTTTTCCGATCATTTCAAGGCTTCATGCGCACGCGCTGACTTCATCCCCTACTTTGCAGCCTGTAAGTATAAAATGGCAAGTAGTTGCCTCAAGTTGAGACCGGCCACGTTGGCCTCTTTCGTAGTCTTCGGCCTACATATTTTACTTCCATAACCCGGCGCCGACATCTCCGCCACTTACCTGAAACTGCTCCGCGCGACGCCGAATCCGGGGACGTTTTGGAGGAGTTGATGGGATGCGTTTTAGTTGAAAAAAAATTTTTGAATCGCTTGGGTTTGAATCGCTCAGTCCATCTCATAACAAGGTACCTAATTCATTCCCAATCTAGACAACAAACACGAAGCGGAAGCGGTGAAGAGAAACACGCAATTCCTGCGGTGAACGAAGAGAAACACGTGCGCTCCGGCCGCCCACAAGGTACCTACTTGATTCCCAATCTAGGCATTGCATTTTTCCAGACATCTCATGCTAGGCATCACAGATGATAGCTAGGACTAGGTCGCGCAGCACCAGCGCGAACCTCGTGAGCGCCGGAATGGGTTACTAACCACCTCTGTGGCCCCATTTTTGTTCTCCCGTGGCCAGCCCTTGCCTACAAAAATGGACGACACCGGGGGAGCACAGGAGACGCGCAGCCAATGCCCACGCCGATGTCGGTGCGCAATCAATCTGGAGAGGGAGGCGAAGATGGCGCGCGCATGCTAGAGAAGCACGCGCGGCTTGTTTACTCATCTTATTTTATGTTCACACACTAGCAAGGCACATCCTGACGTCTATGACGCGAATATATATAATTTAGCGAGCTCGTGGCCCCTCTCTCCGGCGACGCAGTGGCCCGCCACTGCCCGCTAGCGACCTCTGTTGGGGAGGGTTCGGGACTTGTTGCAGCCTCTGTTGCTCCCGGCGCTGCGACCTCTCGGCGCAGTGCTGGAGCACGGTTCGTCCCACGTCTGTGGGCGGACAAGTGCGACGCCCGCAGCCACCTCTGTGGCGCGGACGTCGCGGCGCGGTCCCTGCTGCACGCCTCGCTACTGTATCTAGTAGCACAAAAGACGCTGCGAAGCAGCGCAGATACACTTTATACAGAGCCGGAGTTGTTCCTCCACTGTGAAGGGTGTCGTGGCCTTTTGTTGAGAACATACGGACTAGAGCAGCGGCCCCATGCGGCCGCAGAACTGCGGGGATTTGGGAAGTAGTTTGTGTTCGCCTCACGATGATCACCAAGATGCTACCCAAGTCACATCATGGATCAGGTACCAACAGGGCGGAAGCCGAAGCGGTGAAGAGAAACACGCATTACGTATCAAATGTAAAAATGTCTGGGTCTGGAAGATTCTAAACTTGTAATGCTGTCTCTGGATTCTAAAAAATTTGTATTGCATGACCAGCAAAAGGACTCTAGTTTGTGCTACGTGAAGAGGGCATTTCTCATGCGGTAGAGGCACCACAAAGTCCTCTGAAAATCTGTGATGCTAGGGCATGCATCACAGACATCATCGGCCATTCAAAATATGCATGACAAACCTGGCAATCTTCCAGACCCAGACATTTTTGCAATTGATAGGTGGGCGCGACCTGCCACCCGGTGGGGTGGGAGGAATTCGACGTGCCTCCACCAGCACTATCAAGTGTAAAAGTGTCTGGGTCTGGAAGATTGCAACTTGTCATGCTAAATCTGAAGCATGCAAAAATTTGTTTTGCATGAGTGCCAAAAGCTGTCCGCTTTTGACCAAGTTGAGAGGGAGTTTCTCATGCAGGAAAGGCATGATAGAGCCCTCAAAGAATCTGTCATGCTGGGTCTCGCATTCCAGACCTCATGAGTCATGGAAAACCTGCATCACAAATCTTGTATTTTTCCAGACCCAGACATTTTTACATTTGATATTACGAATACCAAAACGAAAACCGAACTTCAAGATATCAAAGTGAAAAAAGCCCCCACCCCATATTCAAAAGACGATTTGTGTTGGTGGATTCGTGTACTACGCAAATGAGCTTTGTAATTGCAGCAAGAGCTTGTCTGCATATAATTCTATAGCCCATTTGGGTGCTGCGCGCCCGGCTAGCAGCTGAGCATGTGAAACAAGGCTGACATATTAGGCGAAAACGCATGACAGACTCGCTGAACAATGCGCCACAAGGGTTCCGCTTGCCTTGTACGCAAGACAAAGCATCGCAAATTTTCCTCTCGATGTGGGGACGGGGGTGGATTTTTCCTTACGATACGCGACTCGCTTTCTCCGCGGCCTGCATATGAACTGCAAAAGTATCGTATAAATGCATGACTTATTCCCTCAGCATGAGATTGAGCAATTAAAATTTGTAAGTATATGCGTATGTGACTTAACAAAAAGATTTGTAATGCATGACTGCAATACGAGTACGATACTTTTGCACAGGATTGCTTTCTATAGTTAGAACTCCGCGCCAGCTCCTTCACGACGATCGAACTGTCCTATCCTGTGCAAAAGTATCGGATTCGTATTGCAGTCATGCATTACAACAAATCTTTTTGTTAAGGTAAATCAGCATTGCAAATCAGTCAGGGTAGAGGAGCAATCCTCGGGCACATAGATAACAAAACGCTGCACATCTGAAAGAGTTTTTTTGAAAGAAGAAAAGAACAGACGTGCACCATCAGAAGTGTAGTGCTGGCGGTAGCACTTGTGCTGCACCATCAGAAGTGCGTAACTCGCATGCCGGGCGTGCCATGTCAGGATGTCAGGATAACGCAGAAGCTCAGTCAGTCAGTCAGCATTGCAAATTTTATCTCTCATGCTGAGAAATGCACTTATACGAGTACGATACTTGTGTAGTTCATATGTCCGGCGGGAAAATATCGATATGAGAGTGCAAAAAAACAACTCGATCTCCACGTACTACCCAGCTGCAGCCGCCCGGGACGAGAGTGCGGCTCTACTGCTGAGCGCGGAAGATAACGCAGTGGGACAGCACGTTGAACAGGAGACGGAAAATGTTGAAAAAACCCCCGCCCACGGGGGCTGTTGCCAAGACTGCTGCACGAAAAAGTGCGTGCTCATCCTTCTCCTCATATTTCTCGTTCTCGCAGGCGGTGCTTGCGTTTTAATTTTCGTTCCCTGGTTCGACGTATCAAATGTAAAAATGTCTGGGTCTGGAAGGATGCGAACTTGTGATGCTGTCTTCGGATTCTAAAAAAATCTGTATTGCATGACAAGCAATTATAGGGCTCCAGTTTGTGCTTCGCGGGAGGGCATTTGTCATGCGGAATAGGCATGATCAGGAGGGCCTCTAAAGCTCTGTGATGCTAGGTCATGCATTCCAGACCTCATAGGTCATGGGAAACCTGCATCACAAGTCTTGCAACCTTCAAGACCCAGACATATTTGCAATCCATACGACGGTTGGAGTGAATCTTTGTACACGAGATGGAGAGGAGGTGCGACGTTCCTGTCGCCCACAAGGTACCTAATTCATTCTCATATTCTAAGCATAACGCACTCCAGATCGGTCACATAATTCTAGGCATCAACTGCACAAATAGGACTAGGTCGTATGGATTGCAAAAATGTCTGGGTCTGGAAGAATGCAAGTTTGTCATGCTTGTCTGGCATGGCTCGAAAATCTGTGTTGCATAGGCGCGAAAAGGCCCTCTTGCCTGTCATGCAAAAACCCAGTTTGCCTTTGCCATGCGGAATACGTAAGACATGGCAGCCAAAAAATTTGTCATGCGTAGGTGCGTATTGCAGTGCGTCTACCATTCACTTTTAGCATTACAAGTTTCCAGACCCAAACTTTTTTACATTTGATAGGTCGCCAGACATCACCACCAGCGCGAAGAACCTCGTGAGCCCTGGGGGTATTGTGCGGGATATCCCACGAAAAAACTGTTTTACTGTGATGATCTTGCAAGATCTGCATCTCAGGTTTGTATACACATGACACAGAAAATTTGCATTGTGCGCTTCCCAAGGGAAAACACGCTAAAAAATCCAATGTCTTGCAGGCGTAGCAAGACAAATCGTTCCGTGCTCCATTCTCTGCATCACAAGTTCACAGTGAAACAGTTTTTTCTTGCGATACGGGAGCAAAACAAAGTGAAGTGGAAATATCAAAGCGACGCAAGCTGTTATCCCACGAAAAAAGTGTTACAGTTACACATTTGTTGTCAATTCCGCAACACAAATTTTCTCTGCATGAGAGAGAAAACTTGTAATGCGAAGATCATAAGGGAAAACAGGAAGGAAAGGAGGCTCCGAAGCATTTCCTGCATGAGAAAGGTTGTCTCTGTTGCCAGTCTTGCATGACAATGTGTAACTGTTGTAACACTTTTTTCTTCTATAATTCATTCTCATATTCTAAGCATAACGCACTCCAGATCGATCACATTCTAGGCATGATCACAAATAGGACTACTAGGTCCTCGCGCAGCACCTCCAGCGCGAACCTCGTGAGCAGGGCCGGAATTTTTATGGGCCAACCACCTCTGTGGAAGGAAGGACCCCACTTTTGTTCTCCCGTGGCGGCGGTGGCCAGAATTAGAATTTATGCCTACAAAAATGAAAATAAATGGAGGACAGCGGGGGAGCGCAGCAGACACACAGCCAATGCCTACGCCGATGGCGGTGCGCGAACTGGTAGGAGGGAGGCGAAGATGACGCTCGCATGCTCTCGTAAGAGAAGCGTTCGCGGCTTGATGTTGGTCACCCTTTTTTATGTTCACACACGACTCGCAAGGCACATCCTGACGTCTATGGCTCATTTGGAGTCGCGTTTCAAACTTTCACACGCAGAGCGCGGCGATTCGCAAGTTTAGCCGAACCGGCGTAGCGATTTTGTGTCTGGTTTTCTGACATTGTGTGCCCATCACAGAATTCGTGTGATAGGCACGCAACACTTTGAGGGGGCCAGAAATAAAACTGCCGCGCCACTTCGGCTGTACTTGCGACCTTTGGTGCCTTGCGCGTGACAGTTCGATCCGCGTGTCCAAGCGAGGTGACTGTCGACGTAACACGCAAAGCCTGGGAACGAATTTCTGTGAGTCACCTGAATAAAATTGGTGCTCAGATCGGTTTTGCTGGTCAGGGCACAAATCTTACGCAGGCAGCCTACAGAAATTAGGTCTCAGGACCCCACATCCGAGAACTTGTCGGATGGGACTTCACATCCGAGGAACTCCCGGACGTGAACTCACATCCAAGAATTCCTCGTGTGTCAGCTCACATCCGAGAACTTCTCGGCTGTGCGCAGACATCCCAGGAGTTAGTATTTGATGTGGCGAAAATCCTTGCGAACAAATTGCTGGAAGTCACCTGCGTAAGATTTGTGGTCCGATCGGCAATACCTATTGGAGCACAACCCCTACGCAGGTGAGTTACGGATAT